AATTAACGTGAGTATGATCGACTTAAGTAGCAAAGAACTTAAAGGCTGGTGACGCACTTGTAGCCTTTATTGTTCCAGGTGTCCACGGGCGACGCTAATTGCTTACCATCAGGTGATCCGTCTGCTCGTTTGCCGTCCTATGCCACAATAATACTTACAATCTAGTCATATACCATAAAAAAATGTTCTCAGGACTAAAATGCCCCCTATGACATGGGACTCGGTGAACACTTGATGTATATTGTATATGTATTGTATGTACAGCTCTGCCTACCCCATAATAGATTTGAGTCAATCATGCGCACGCGCACTGTGTCACATTCCCTAATAATAAGAATGCGTTGTGTAAGTGTAATGTTAAAGTAAATAAATGAATGTAAATTATGATCCGATTTTGTTTTATTTCTTCCTTGAAAAATGGAAAATATGAGAGAATCTGTCCGGGGTCATACCAGGACTAAGACTAGTCCTAGTATGACCTACTTTGTACCCTACAAAGTAGTCTGTGGGTTATTCCACACCATTATCTACCCCTGTTCCTAATTTCTGAACTGCCTCGGTGGTCGAGTGGTCGTAAGTGGGTTGTATTCCGCGGAATTGTTTTATATGATGCCCACGGCCACTTTCTATCATCGCACCGCTCGCCATCGACAGGGAGTTCACGCTCACACATTGGAGCCCAAATGGTCTCGTACAGTTCGGTTTCAGAGGAATTTCCTCCCACGGACCCTCCGATTGTGGAATCAACTATACCGTGGCTTTCCCAGTGGGCTACAACATGGGGATCTTCAAGAGGGGAGTGAATAGGTTTCTTAAGGGTCGGCAAGACGCATGTAATGTCCCAAGTGTTGCAGGCGTATATAGGCCACGGTAACCGCTTACCATCAGGTGTATAAAAATAAGTGCGACTGATGAGCAAGGAGTCTCGTGTTTAACAAATTCAGAATTTAGTTTGAATACTGAAAAGGAACAGATTTCATCAAATGTAGATGTAGGAGGAGGAGTTCGTTAATTTTTTTACAAATATTCCTATAAAAACAACTGAACATTTAAAGTCATCAGCAACACTCTCTGTAACTTTGTGAACCATATAGAATAATGTCAACACGACTTTAGTTTTGGATATACGAATCCTCTAGAAATAATAATAGATTTAAAAAAAACTAAAAATCAAGTCAACTGAGGATCTTTGGAGACTATCGGTAAAAGTTTGCAAGTCACTTATTCAAACTGTAACGCCGTATCTGGCTGTGATTTTCAATAAAAGTATAGATGACGGTGTTTTCCCTGACCTAATGAAATATATGAAATATAGAAATATATAAAGAACCTAACAACTATAGGCCAGTGTCTGTTTTGCCGGTTCTCAGCAAAGTCTTTGAAAAGTTGATGCTGTCTCGGATGCTTCATCATTTCAATAAACATTCCATCTTTCACCAACAACAATACAGTTTCACTAAAGGTCGTTGCACAACTGACGCCGGTGTCACTTTGATTATGGAAATATTTGGTGCTTGGGAGAAAGCACAGAATGCTATTGGAGTATTGGTGTCTTTTCTTTTGTGACCTCTCAAAAGCGTTTTGCGTTGACCAAGTTTTGCTGAAATTAGATCACTACTGGATTTTTTTTATGGGACAAGCCTGTCACCACCTCCTAAAACCACTGCAACTCCTGTAAGCCAGGATCTACAATAGATACAACCATGAAAACACCAGAACACGGAAGTCCGGCGCGTCCCAGGGACATGAGTAACTGTTTGGTTCCTGCAACGAAGTGAATCAGAAGATATTATAAGAGGAGAGGAAGAAAAAACTATGGTTTCCACTTCCCTCGGTGAATTACTGCAGGAGACAGAATGAATTAAGCCTAAAGGCACTAAGAAGAGACTGTACAACTGGGTGAAGCCCAGTCGCCAAGTACCACGGAAATTTGACTAAAAACTAAATGGGTCCTATGTGTGAGCTGTTTTATACTTGCTTCCAATAATAGGTATGGCAAAAACGCCTAAACGCACGGAAATTCGTTCTAGATTCCACAAGTATCGTATAAGTAATAAACTACACCTAACGAAACAATTAAATTATTTGACATACCTAGTGTTACGTTTACTGCCAGGTGGACCAAAATTCCACAATAATCAATTTGGTTTCACTGTAGGAAAGTCTACTGTCGACGCGGCTCTTTCTGTCCGATTCATGGTAAATTCGTCTGAACACAAGTATATAAGTAGTAGGTATTTTTCTGGACATTTCCGGTGCCTTTGATAACACATGGTGGCCAATGTTACTCTTAATATATATGTATATAAATTAATATACACTTATTTCCTTCACGGTTCCGTTAAACTGAAGCTTGGTCATTGTTCTCGGTCGAAGTCGTTATCAATGGGATGTCCTCAGGGCTCCGTTATTGGCCCGTATTTATGGAATTTAGGATTTGATGATTTGCTCGCGATTCCCCTTCCTTGTGGCTGTACCTACTTTGACTGGATATGCGGATGATGGCCTTTTGCTAGTACAATCAAATACCCGCGCCGGACTGGAGAATTTGGCTAAAGACTGTCTCAGTAGGATCTCGCGATGGGGCGAACGAAATCGCTTGACTTTTGCACCCCATAAAACTTACCAGCTATTGCTTAAAAAGGAAATTAAAGTCGTGGCCGTCTATTAAATTTAACAATGTTTCCGTAAAACGAAAGGAGTCTGTTGGTTACCTCGGTCTAGTTTTGGAAAAAAACTTTTCTTTCATTGAACATATTAAGGCTATTAGTGAGAAAGCCAAAAATAACTTCTATGCGCTGACGCGAATTTCAAAAGCCACCTGGGGTCTCTCTTTTCTTACGCTCAGAATCATATACGGAATACGGAGCAACCTACCTGGGATGCGTGTATCTTGAAGATAAGAATGCTTGGCAGCATATTGGTTCGGCTCCACTGGACAATACTCAAATATAATCAGTAGTTCAGATTCCAATAGTAGGTAATTTAATACTATGGCATCGAGGTGTGCGTTACCCAGGCCAGGGTAACGCACACGGCATCGAGCATTTCTTTATTGATTTTTACAGTCTGGCAAACGAAAGTAGAGACTGAAAAAGCAAATTTAAAAAATATCAGTATAGCAACCCAAAAATTAGTATGTCATACCTGAAGTAACCAGACGTGAAGACGTAAAAAAACAAACAAATTATTATAAAGTATCAAATTAGGTTACTCCAGGTATGACATACTAATTTTTGGGTTGCATTGTAGTGACATTAAATATTGTATGTGTATCTCTGCCTACCCCTTCAAGCCTTCGGGGATAAAAGGCATGTCAAGTTTATGTTGAATGTCAGAAGAAAAATTTGGCAAATAATTCTCAATTTTTTAAATTTAGGAGGGGTATTAAAGGATTCCTTGTTTGTTCCAGAATCGACCTTTTTTTTAAGGGGGGAAAATCATCGAATTGCTTCTCCCGCCGGGGTGAGGCGGGAGGGAGTGTCAGACTCTTACTGACTAAAAACCACCCCGTTCCTACTCCTGCACGTCGAGCCGGAGCCCTGGTAACCCGTTAGGTTCTCCGCGACTAACCAGAATCGACCCCCATCTTTGGGATGGCCCGGCGAAATACCAGTTAGAAGCCCTCGAATCCATCGAGAGGCGTGCCAAGAAGCTCATCAATGACGATTCGCTTGTGGAGGCTCGGCTACAAAGCCTCGAACACAGGCGAAAAATCACAAGCCTTTCGGTCTTCTATCGGATACATTTCGGTGAGTGTGCGTGGGAATTGCACAAATTTATTCCCCCTAGTCCATTTCATCACCGTACCACCAGACGAACGGCGGGGCGCCACCCTTATTTGGTGGACACTCCACCCATTCGCACGAAGCGTTTCGCGTCAAGCTTCCTCCTAAGGAATTCCATTCCTTAGCGGTTCTCATGACTACGACTTTGTCTTCAAGTCCCGAGTGAACAGGTTGCTCATAGGTAGGCGTGCTCCATCGTCGGCCACATCATCGCTTAACATCAGGCGAGATGGTGGTCAAACGTCGACCTATAAAGTGTAAAAAAAAAACCCTAGGGTCCCATTTTGTTAGGCAGTCGATAGCAAATATGGAAGTATCAACACAGTAACCTTAGTTATGTAACTTGGGACGCATGAAACTATTGTCACACTGATATAACTGTGAAAGGTTCTTTGTTTGGATGTTTGTCCGTCAATCCCGTTGAAACTACTGAACGGATTTTGGTGAAACTTGGTACACAGGCAGGGTATGCTCCTATGGGATAAAACAGGAAAACACGGGTAAAAGCGAGTCACACATAAAAATAAAACAGAAAACATGAATTTCCAAAATGATTTATTCATTTCGAATCCTTGGTTAACGAACCTAAATTAATTTTATACAAAAATGTACACAAAACAAATATACAATGTTCATAAACAAAATCTATATAATTTTAGTCGACATTTATATAATTTTATACATTATTTTATCATATTAATGCTACAAAGTACTTTTGGTAGCTTTCTGAATAGATTACAAGTCAAAATAACAACATTTTTGTAATATATCTGATTACAATTACACAGTACCAAATATGTGCCTAAATTGCATTCTAGTTAAAATGGGGGATACATACAAACTAAACATACCAAGGATTTAAATTTAATACACAAGTTGACTATAGCTAAATTAACTAAAATTCCAAATTGCCAAATGTTACATTTAAGCTCACATTTTGGGAAAACAGCATTGAAAACCCGTTTTTGACTAGTGCAATATTTCTTTATACTAATATTGGTAGGTTACATAGCTTACTAATGTCCTGGTGGTAAACAGACACTGTAGTCCAAGTACACTTGAAATACTAGAAGCATGAGTGTGTTGGCCAACCAAGTACAAAACTGATTTTAAAAGTTTGTCGTTGGCACTTTTCCCAATTAAAATGTCCAGATTATATATTTCTAATGCTGTTTCCACATAACAGGGTGGCTTTTCAGTTAAAATTACATGTTTTTTTCTTATTTTTTTACTTTAAATTAGTATAAATAATGTGTGGTATATACACGGGGAATGAATCCGTTTAGTTGTGGACACTGACTTAATATCAGTGGTTATTGATGTTGTTAAGTATTTATTATGAAATAATTGGTGTTATCAGGAAAATTAGGATTTAAACATAATCATTGAGTTTTACATAACATTTTAAATACACAAATTATGAAGAAATACAATTTCGGATAACAAAATATGAAGAAAAATTATGACAAGAAATTTAATTTTAAACATTTCGAAATACAGTAAAAATATTGCTTGAAAAAACACAACCTGGGTAATCTTCTAGTCTACGTATTTGTGAAAAATAAAAACAGTTATTGTTGTTTCGAAAAAGACGCCTTGAACCAAAATGGCATCAAAAAGTACCTTCGACAGTGCAATTTTTGCAGTACTTACAATTATTTTACAGAAACAATTTTTGGTCAGAATTACACTGAATTCAATGCGGAGTAAATGTAAGTGGATGTTTTACCAGCATTTCATTCAGTGGTGGAGATATTTCGATATGTTTTAGTGCGAAAATTGTGCTTAGTAGTTTTAGTAGATTCATTCAAATGGGGCAGATGTAATGACAAACAGTTTGCAATATGCACGAGGACGATGGATCGCGACCCGCACCCTCACGGCGCGACACTCATAATATACATAAAAAATATATTTAACCATTGTATATTATTGTATAACGGAGACCGACAACACAGAATGCTATGTCCTTTGCTAAGGAACGTTGAGAAATATTCCAAAAAGACAAATTTTGCTCCCAAAAATGGAGATTTGATCATCCAAATTACTTGGCAACACTGTTGTAAAAAGCAATCAATGTTGCCAATTACGAATTTTGAACAGTAACAAATAACACAACATTCTGTTATATCGATCTATAACTATTGTACATTGTGGAGGATAAGGGGTGAATCTGGGGGGAGGGGGGTGTGTATATGTTGTGTAAAAATATATCATCTATTAACTAGAGGTGCGCCGTGCGGTAACTTATAACTAGTGCGGATAGCTTCAGTCTTATAGATCGGTCTGTGGGAGTTGTATCAAACTTGGTGCAGCAATTTAGGGGGTATAATGAATCATATGAAGTTTAGATCTAAACGTTTGAGTGTATAAAGTTGAGCGGATAATTTTGTAGTTTATATGACTCACCATACAATATTTAATAGTGGTATTTTCTGTGCCAAAGTTTCTAAAATAGTCTCATTTTGACCGTCTTCAACAAGGTCCCGACAGACCTCAAAAAATCGTCTGACCCGTGCCCATTCCATGCTGTTTCTTGGGTGCGCGGATGCGCTTGACTGGGCCCGCGCGGGCGTGAGCTGCGCGCGGGTACTGTGTACCGGACTTACAACTAACTTACACTAACTAGCCTTATTATTAGACTTCAGAAATTAGGTTGAAATAATGTTTAGAGACTGGGAAGGGTCCACTAAGTGGAGAATTTGGCAGCAGTCTCAAAGCTAAGATTTTTGAAGAATTTTTGTCTTTAAAACACTGATTTAAACGGTACAATCTGTCAATGTTAGATGTTCAGTTGATATAGCTATTTCTATCCATTAAAGAAATGGGTATGGTCAAGAGTTTAACACTGATTGTAGTTTTAGTGACAAATAATGACAGTTAGGTGATTCATGTCAATAAATCACATAGAACTTTACAGTCAGTCATTTTGAAACTAAGTCCTAAATGTTCTTGTACTTTTTTTATCAACTGATAGATCATTTCTGAAGTTTATCAATAAGGCATTGGATAATTTGGGCGATGTAACTTATAGTGTAAACAATGACTACTAATAATGCAGTGAATTGTATCACATACAATCTTAATTATGATATGAAATTTTGACATTTTACCAGCCAAAATGCTATTAATTCCACTTTTCAAAAGATATACTTAGATAAAACGCTTGCTAAAGACATTTTTTGCTTTATATAATGTTGAAAATTGCATATAGTATACCAGAATCATGTCATTCAGTGATCCACTGTCTGTTGCTGGCCAGACCGGGAGACACTTTATCACTATACAGTTACATCTCCCAAAAATGATATGAGAGAAACAATATAGTATAACACTTAAATTCTAAGTAAAAAGTTGATAAGAGAACTCGGTTTCATATGAACACTTATTTGGTAATAAGCAGTCCTTAGATGTAGAAATAAAAGAAAATATCATTTTGTAGAATAGTGTATATGTTGTAATATCAATTCATATTGGTTTTTTAGTTTTTTGCTATAAGAAAATAGATAATAAGTCTGTCTGTCTAAAAAACTATCTGTAGTTTGACAGCAAAATAAGGCAAGAAATTGTTATGGTTTAAAAGGATTTTTTTTTCTTAATTGGCAATCGAGTCTCCAATACTTTATTGTAAACTATACTGCCGGTATTGAGTGGAGACAGATTAATGAATCGTCGAACTTTAACTTTGCGGTAGTTTTTATTTGTTAGTAGTTTAAAAGGATAAACCATTTGGGCTGAGATATCATTGAATTTATTGTACAAATGTCATACTTAATTTAATTTCTATAAAAACCACTCCAATCAATATGGAATTATATTTATATAGTATTTTTATTAATTTTTAAATGGAAATTGGCAAATCATTCTTCTTTATTGGAATCTACATTCTGGAATGAGCACCAATCTTCACTCAAGGACAGACTATTATTTATTTTATATTTCTTTACATTGCAAAAGTACCAAATTGTGGTTTAATTGAAATAAATGCTTTACATACAAACCCTGTCTTTGTATAAAAATACTTAAGATGTTCAATAATAAGGACAAACAGTTTTAGCCCAAAATTTACTGTTTCCCTTTGCACTAGATTTTAGCCTCTTAACTTTACTCGCACATTCAAACAGGTATACCTAATTCCTGTCTAGACCACTTTCAGACTAGATTTGAGTCCTGAATCCTACACATGTTCCACAAATCTGATATTTCCTTATTACCCTGTATAATGTAACCTTGAAAAGATAATATTTTGTTTGTAGTACTTTTATATTGTGAATTTGGTGTTGGACCAGATTTAGATTTTTATGTATAAAAAGGGGAATTCTTTTGAGTCTTGTTTGTTTAGTAATTAAAAAATGTATTATGAATCTGATTGAAAAGGAATAACCTATGGAGTTTCTTGCTCGTTCATCTACATCGGAATCTACACCTTGGAATGAGCAACTAGCTTCACTTAAACTTTTTTGTTGACTTTCAAAATTGTTTTCGTGGTCTAATTGAATTATATGATTTTAGCTTTGACTTTAGTGAGAATATTTTCAAATTTGTATAGTTTCAATTTTCTATAGTAGGTTCAATTTTCTGTACAATAGCATATTTATTAATTTGTTACAATATGTTACTACATTGTTTTAACAATAAAAACCACTGCTTTCCTAACTTAATTACTCAATAAAAAGGTATCTTCCAACAGACTGGTCCGGGTCTGGGTGTCACTGTGTCTGTGAACTTGTATGTTTGTAATCGCACCCACGACACAGGAGACAATCCTAATGTGGGGCAACGTTTAAAATAAAAAAGACTTCCTCTAATAACTACAAATTTTTCAACTCAACAAACATTACCAATATTTTATACATCTGTACAAAACCTGTGAAAATTTTTAACCCACGAAATAGAATTAAAAAAGACCACGAAACAGCATTTAAAAAAACCAGTAAACATGCTATTTACTATTATGAGACCCCCAAACTCAGCCGTAACCTTCAATAAATTCTATACACATTAAAATATTGTATTAAAACCGGTTTTCATCTGAATTCAATGCCAAGGTGTGTCATGGGAGACTTTCTCGGAATAAAAGAAAGTTACCGCAGCCAACGGTCCACTACATTTAAGATTTTTTGCTAATGTAAGGGTGGAAACTGGTTTTCGGGAGATAATTATGTATTTTTTAGAGGAAATAATAGTGATTTTTGCGTGTCCGGGTGTTATCTTCGTAGTTCCCATGTATTCATGATGTTTTAACATTTAAATTCTTTAGAAATATTTTTGGCAGGATGTCTTTTGTGAAAGGAAAGAGAAATGGTTATAATTTCAGATAACAATAAAAATTTTGCAGAATATTATTATGTATTGACACATTATTCCTGCATTTTTCGATTAGGTATACTTGTGAGAATCTGAATGATATTAAGCTTATCTAGGTCTCAAAATATGTTTCTAGCACAAGAATTGACCAATAACAGCATTGAAAAATCTTCAAAAGATCATTAATAATTGTTTCAAACAAAGTTTGACTGAAAAGTTGCAATGAATGCCAGCGATGCGGACTGCAGATAGGCATCAAGCCGAGTAGGCTCATAAATAGTCAAATAGGTTCGTAAACACCTATTGATGCCTTTAACTTACAATAGAAACAAGTATAAATAATGTTCATATAAAACCGAGCTATCAAAAATATCACATATCAGCCTTACTTCTAGAACAGACCAACATATAACTACTGCGATGGAGCTCGCTGTGCGTTCATCGAGAAGTCATGCAACAAAGTCTAATGGCCTGTTGAACCCGCCCTTCCTGTTCATATACTGTCTGTACTTACGTTTCAGCACCACATGGACGTCACCTTCAACATTATCTTCCACCTTCTTCCCCTTAGTGGAGTCAAACCCACAAAAGCCCATAACTTTAAGCATCTCCTGTTCCTCAGGAGTTTTACCTTCTAGATCCGCTGGGGTGACTATCGGACGCTCACCGAAGGTCTTCTTGGGCTTCACGAAGGATGTGGAAGGTCCAGGTGATGCAGAGCGTGAGCGGCGGCGGCGCGGCGAGGGGCTGCGTCGGCGGTCCGGGGAGCGCCGCCTACGTTCCAGAGACCGCGAACGGGACCGGGTCCGAGGCCTCCGCCTCTCACGGTCCCTGTCCCGGTCTCTCTCCCTGTCTCTGTCTCGATCTCTGCGCCTGTCATCGCGCCGCCGCGGGCTGGGCGAACGACCCATGTTAACCTGTTGCAACATTTACATTATTAACACACAATTTAAAACATAAACTTCATTAGTTTTAATATAACATAGAAGGTAGACCAATATTTACCTCAGTTTTAAGTCAACAGTTTTAAAATTTTACTAAAAACAAAAAGTAACAATAACGCACAACCTAGTCCAACGCCATTTTGAGAGTGAATGACTGTTGAACGAATGAAATCGAACAAGTCAACGAAAGCTTTTTGGGACCGGTTTTTCGTTTTGTTGTACGTTGAACATTTTTTTAAATTTCGTATTTTTTTATTCATTTCACATTAATTAATAAGAAACAGAACATGATATATTTTAAATATATAAATATTTTATATTTATATTTCTACAATATTATAAAAAATATTTCAAGACAATAATCTGTCTGCACTGTTAACAACGAAACGCTAAGTTACGTTTCTATATACGGAACTCTGTCGATCGTTCAGTCCTGTAGAAAAAAGTCAAGGTACAAAAAACTAACAAAAAGTATGATATTTCGATAATCGGGTAATAATAAAGTAACTGACTGACTGTTTATTTTTTTACTTTGGTCTTTGTTTAAATTTTATGTGCTTAGAAATATATACAAAAGATAATACTAATGCTGCGTGAAACGAAACCTAGCATCCCAGTGTTGTCCAGTTAGCAGAAATGCCTAAATAAGTGGACTTATTATTGAAAAATACTTGTTAACTGTTTTCTAGAAATATTAATAACTTGATTGTGTCGTCTGCTATTAAAAATAGTTGATAATCTAATTTTATGTAGAAGGATCTGCAGTCAAAATTATCAATTATTGGTTTATGATGAATGACTATTCAAATATTACAACGTAGCTTCCATTTAATTTTTAAGACCTTGTGGAGAAAAAAGAACAAATTCTACACTACATCTAAACAGAATCAAATAATCTACAGAATTTTATTGAAATAGATCAGAAGGGGTAATTACAACTCAAATACTTGCAACACTGGAGACAACAGCGCCATCTAAAGCGTGGCTTCCGATGTCAGTCGATAGCAGCGACGCTACGGCGAAAAAACGAAACTCGCGCCGACATCGATCTACTCCGGTGGCGTGTTACAGAAATTCTTTTTTTACGAACGAATTATTGAAATAAACGCTCTACGCGTAATGTCGGTGGTGCTGGTGCTTTGAAACATAACGAACAACGTTTTGTGCATGTTATTTTATATAATGTTACCTCGTTTATGTGCTTAGTGTAAGTTACAATCGCTATCCGATAAGTGTGTGAAGTGACTCAAAAATCGAGTTTTTAACGCGTCTTGGAGATCTGCCGGTGAGTATTGCGTGTGTTCAGCTTTCTTTTGTACATATTTGTTTACATTAACATTAGGAACGAGGTGGTTTTATGTCGGTATGCGTTTTTTTCGTCATCCGCGATATAGGGTGTGTCTAGCAATAGCAATGCTAATAGGAATTGGGTCGGATTTTTTTAGTCCGCACTCTCTTTATATGTATCGTTATCGGTGATATGACTAGACTGGCGTGTTCTGTGATAACTTTGATGCATTGCGCGCTAATCTAATGAGTTTCCGACAGATAAATGTTGAGAAAATGAAATGTATAAGAAATCGCGTTTATAACTGAATCTAACACTGAAATATAGTGTTTTCTTGCATTTGTATACCTGTAAAGTAAGTTTAATCTATTTCTTTGGGCGTGACACTAATCAATTACATATTATCTCTTCAATAATGTGAGCTGATGTCACCGCGTAAGTTCGGTACTATATAACCCGGCCGAATATGGTACAATGCTACTCTAACGCGTTTATAATACGGCTTAGGTGTGTTTTTAATTTGGTAGGATAGTACGGCTGGTGTAATGGGCCAAATTGCTGGCTGATTGGACGACCGGCGGAGATTCTTTGCCGTGATTTGATCTGTAAAGACTTTTTTATATTCTTATTTGATTCATTCATTTATCACCGTGCTATATTTTGCTGGGATAAGTCATGAATGTGTTCGTAATTAGGTATTTAGCGCTAATTAGCTGGGTCTAAAGGTTGTATGTTGCTACACGATATTTATTTCGCGTTCATATCTAAGGAACTTCGTACGTATAGTTCGCGATGATGTATCGTAATTCCGTGTGTTGTAATTATTCATCTCTTGCCTTTGCAATCAATATTTTTTTTTGTAAACTCTTATTGAATAACAGAACTATTTATTGTAACAAGATAAAAGAGTCAGTTTCTATGTGTAGTGTTTAAAATTGTTTAATTTTAACCAGTATAGAGTAATAATTGATTTGAAACTGGCTATTACTGGTGGCATCACACTTATATTCAAAAAGCTTATATCACTTTTGAATCTCTCAAATTAATTATTATTATCTTGAGGTACAGTGCTGTTGATACCACATCAATATTAAAAACAAATTTGACAGAAATGGGTTGGTTGACATGCATGCTGCCTACTGTACAAAGATCACATGTAAACTCCATTGAACAATGACATCATAACATATCATCACACCTTTTATCCCTGAAGGGGTAGGCAGAGGTGCACATTATACCACTGTACAATGTAACACCTATGTATTTATGTTATGAGTCCCATGTAATAGGGGGTGAGAGTAAGTGAACAATGACAAACATACAAAATGCAGACTCCTATGTATAAATGAGTTTTCTAAGTAAATTATTTACTTGAAAGTGGATGTATTATAATAAAATGTATACTTGCAAATCTTGGAGTGGATGCTTCACCCAGTTCTGTGTAGATTAGATAATACATTATTATTTCATGGCCTTTCTATATGGTTAAGTATCAAATACTTAAGAGCATTTGTGTCCATGTACATGGCAATAGACTCGCCCCCTTACATGGGACTCATAACATAAATAGTGACAAGTGGGTGTTACATGGTACAGTGGCATTAAGTGCCGTGATGTGCACCTCTGCCTACCCCCTTTGGTGATAAAAGGCGTGATGTTATATGTAAAACTTAAATACTCTGGAATGACAGTTATCTGAGGAGTACCTTATAATAGCCTATGGTACTACATAAAATTTTCTTCCTAAGATGGGCTGTAACATTACAAAATATATTAAAAAATGGTTGTCTTGTAGTGAAACTATCTTTATGATATAATAAATGATTTTGCTTACAAACCTTGCACTTCTAACATCAGTAAACTTTAAAACCTTAAATAAACTGTTATAGTTAATAGTACAAAGAGGAAAATACAAAATTACCTTTATATATTTATTATCAAATCTAATAACTGTTTTAAATCAAAAAAATAGGTACCTACATCATAATTAAATTATTATTTTCCTTGATTGTAAAATATAATTGAAGTGATTTTACCTTATTATGACTGTCTCGTTGGCTAAGTGGTCGTTAGTGGGACTGCCGGGCAAGGGGTCTCAGGTTCGATTCCCTGGTCGGGAAAATTATTACTGAAAAAAAAAAAACAGTAGTAGCATGGATTCAGGATTTGTGCCCCTATAACAAGGGACTCATAACATAAGTAGTAAAATCTGGGTGTTACATTGTACAGTGGCACTAAGTGCCGTAATGTGCACCTCTGCCTACCCCTTCGAGCATAAAAGGCGTGATGTTATATGTGTGATTTTACCTTATTATTGTGACAGCTACAGTGACTATTATGACGATATGATCTCATACTTTTTTATAGCCAATACCAAGCTCTATTATGTACTTATGTACTAAATAGAGTATATAGTCAATAGATGGTAGGTACCTATGTAGTTACGTAGTGCAAATTGCGTATGGTTAGTCACTAAAGATAAACTCACAGAAAACCGACGTGAAATACAAATAAGACTTGCGTTGTATTTCGTCGTGTGAGTGAGGTTACCGGAGGCCCAATTACCCCGCTCCCCGACTCCTCAACAATCCTTAAATTCTTAATCCCCAAAAGGCCGGTATTTTGGGGTAAGCCGGTAAACGAGCTGCCGGATCACCTGATAGTAATTAATCGGCGTCGCCCGTGGACACCTGGAACATCAGAGGCGTTACAAGTGCGTTACCGGCCTTTTGGGGGTAAGGAATTTCAGGATTGTCAGGGATTGGGGAAGGGGGGTAAATTGCGCCTCCGGTAACCTCACCCACACGACGAAACACAACGCAAGCGTTGTTTCACGTCGGTTTTCTGTATCACTCTGGCCAAGCCGGCCCATTCGTACAGAAGCATGGCTCTCCTACACTTATTTTATGTTGAAGCAATTCTTATAAGACATAGGCATAGATACCTGCCGCATCTTTTCGCCATCGACCCTCACGACAGCATATGCATCCCCATCATATAGATGGTTGGCAGGCCACAACTATGCGCTTCTCTCGCAGCTTTCTGCCTCGCACAGCAAAACTGGAATGATCTGTCGTCGGCGGTATTTCCGAACTGATACGAGCTTCACACCTTCAAAAAAAGAGCGTACTCCCTTTTAAAAGGCCGGCAAAGCACCTGTAACACCTCTGGTGTTGTGGGTGTCCATCGTAAACGCTCAGCGCCGCAAACGAGCGCCGGAGGCAAACAAGCAGACGGTTCACCTAATGAGGTGTCCTATTCCATCTGCTCATTGGCCTCATCATCAATACATAGTATAAAACAAAGTCGCTTTCGCTGTATGTCCGTATGTATGCTTAGATCTTTAAAACTACGCAACGGATTTTGATGCGGTTTTTTTTTAATAGATAGAGTGATTCTTAAGGAAGGTTTGTATGTATAATACATGCATATTGCACCCGTGCGAAGCCGGGGCGGGTCGCTAGTATTCCATAAAAAAAAATGTTGTGTACATAATTATCTACAAAGTATGTTTCCTTTCCAGTGATATAACTGTGAGTAATACTAATGCTAGAAAACAATTGATTTGTCATCAATATGTCACCACTGACTTCTAAGTCGGGTCAATGAACTCCGCAGTACATAATTACCTGCCTACTGGTCTAGCCTGTATACTAGCTATGTCGTTTTGATAACACGTTTCATTATAATATTTATTACTTAGATCTAAATATACTAAATCTGTCTAAGAATAGTGCATACTTTATTTATTTATTTATTTGTTCATGTACACAACACAGACAATACACAGAAAAAAATATATATTATAATAAAACAGAGGTACATAGGTACTGCATATCCCTTATGGGATTTCTTCCTGCAGCCCTGCGAAAGGAGAAATAAAATACAACATATGACACAGTGTGTAACAACAAAAAAAAAACTTTCTTAAAAGACTGGCAAGATATTTGTTACTGCTTTGGTGTTGTGGGTGTCAGTAGAAAAGGACATAATCTTTTTTAAACTGTCAAACACCAAGCGGTCACCGGTGACCGCAACCTATTGTTCTATAATTGTGTCTACAAAACCGGTACTCGACGAGTTAAACTAAGATTTCAATAAAGTGGGTTTGGAGTCGGTTTTTTTAAACATAGATAAATTATCATCATACTTAGTTTATGTAGGTTAACTAATATATCCCTGTCTTTCCTCTCCAGGTACACATATAACAATGCTGTATATATTATTTAAATACTGATAAGGTATTGTTTTCATTAGCTCGGCACAATAATCTAAAAAAACAAAAAATTTCTAGACTATAATATTGATAACAATATTTATCATTATAATTATAATTATGTGTTCAATTACATGCATGTAGTTATGTGGGTTAATTATATTTTGTACAATATTATATATAAATACATAATTATACACAATATAATTATGTAATTTATTAGCTATTACTGCACTATTTCATATGAAGACCAATAGGAACCAAACTATGCTCAGGCGTGAAAGACTGCCTCGTTGGCCGAAGTGTCGCAAGTGTGACTGCCGGGCAAGAGGTCTCGGGTTCGATTCCCGGGTCGGGCAAAGTATTACTGGGTTTTTTCAAAATATCTCAGTAGTAGCACGGAGTCTGGAAATGAGCCCGGTATATGGCAATAGGCTCACCCCCTATTACATGGGACTAAAAAAAAAAGTGGGTGCTATATTGTACAGTGGCATTAAGTGCCGTAATGTGCACCTCTGCCTACCCCTTCGGGGATAAAAGGCGTGATGTTATGTTATTGGCTTGGCAAACTTTGTACCGCCTCATTTTTTTATCACCTTCCCTGGACTTACACAAACATTTAAAGATCAAAATTAGCCAAATCGGTTCACCCGTTCTCGAGATTTAGTGAGACTAACGAACGGAAATTTATTTTTATTTATAAGAAGATATAGGTAATAGCATACACACATACATAACCTCACATCTGTCCCCCATGGGGGTAGGCAGAGACTATAGAACG